TCGGCTGAAGTCGTACGCGGTGAGGAGGTACTTCTGGGCTGTGCTGCCGTCCGGTCGCTCAGCACGCCTGTCATACTTGGGCCGCTGCCATCCGTCTTGGACGTTCTGGACGAGCCGGCCAATGCTATCTTCTGCAGACCGCTTGGCTCTGAAGCCCACCTGTTCGTCAGGGACAAGGCCGCGACTCTCCGCCACGAACGCAAGCCGAGCTAGTATCAGTCGCTCGGCGAGCTTGGAGACGCTGCTTGTGAGCGCGATCGGGCGGTAACTCGTCAGCAGACGCTTGTCCTTGGAGGCCTTGGGGATCGGAATCACGGTGGCCGCGCGCCACTCCCGGGGGACCTCCCCGACTCTCCACGAGAGGTTAATCACGCGGAGGAGGGCTCTGCGCGCCACCGGACCGAGATGCTTGATCATCTCGTTGGTGATCCCGTCTGGTCCTGGTGACTTCTTCAGTTGGAGAAGTTGGATTTCTCTGGTCAGCTCCTCCTCGGAGAATGGCTAGCAGCACCCGGTGTGGTCGCCGTCACAGTCGGCGCAGCGACGCGGTTTGAGATCCGACAGTCGTCGTCGCGCAGCTCGGTCGATCTTCGGCGCCCTCACCTGGCGGGAGACATGGGCGTACTGGGCGGCGAACGCATTGGCCTTCTCCTCGGCTGTTACGAGTAACCGGTCTCCGATCCGCATCGCCTCGCCCTCTCGGTGGTCGTCGTCCACGGCACCCTCCCACTTCTTCAGGAGCCGGGAGACTCGGCCCACGCTGGTAGGTCGGTTCAGCTCGGTGGTAACGAAGTCCCGGAATTGCTCCCTGGTAACTCGCTTCTCCACCTGGTTGGCCCGGCGCTTAGCCTCAATCCAGCGGGTTCTCGATTGGGGGTCTCCCGACTTCACGTTGTCTCTGGCTGCCCGGCGTTCCTGAATCGCCAGCTGGAGATCCGGGTGGAGTGCCCACGGTTTGGCGTCTCTCCTAGCTCCCCGGGGGATGAATTCCTTCGCGGCGTCCTGGACTGCTGCGGTGAATCGGGTGGCCAGAAGTTGAACCGTGGCCTGTGGGGGGGCCGGAACGGAGAGGGCTGCCTCGCACGACTTCCCGAACTCGACCCAGTCGGCTTTGTGGTGGGCCCACCGCGTTTTCCTCTTCCTTCGCGGGGGATCCGCCCCACGGAGTTCGACCACCATAGGGAGGTGGTCACTCCCGAGGTCGGAGCCCCGCGTCCAGTGGGTCCTGGCAGCTAGTTCGAAACCGCAGGCGGCGAGGTCGGGGGCCGTCTGACTCCCGGTCCGGTAACTGATGAAGGTCGGGGCGCCGCTATTGAGGGGCCTCCACCCGATGTCCTCCATCCAGTCGGCCAGGCGTTCCCCAACGGAATCAGCCTCGTCGCAGCTGTCGTCCCAGGAAGGGTGGTGTCCGTTTACATCGCCGACCAGGAGCACTCGGGGGCCATCAGGGAGGCAGTGCGAGCCCAGTCAGCTGGGCTCGCCTCACTGCACGGGGCTGACGCCGCCGGCAGGGAATGACGCCGAACCGAGTCTGGAGGGGGCGGGGTAGGGAAGGGGACCTTGGCGAGCTGTGGTGTATTGGGTTCGTTGGTTGACCTTGTGCTGATTTTTTGCATGGAATAGCAGACAGTGTTTTTAGGCGTCGCGGCAGTTTTTCTGTGGGACGGTCCGATAACCATCGTTCGATGGCCAGACTGGCTGGCGCGCCCATTTGGAGTCGCAGGATGGTACGCTCGGCGCAGCCGGGGCGGGGCGGCCCACCGGCTGTGCTCTGAGGTCACCTCTGTCCTGTCTGCGTCCTTCGGCGGTCGGTTTACGCCACTGTCTGGTGAGGAAGGTGCGACCAGCTGCCCGCCGCTCCGCCGGCCGGCCGAACCGTGTCAAGGGTAGAGTCGGTCGTTCAGCGCCGGCGAATGGGTCGACCCGCCCCGACTCTCGACCGGCGCGCGGCGCCGCGCTGACCGCCCCGCCGCGCCGAGGTCACACAGAAATAGCCTCCGGCGCGGGCCCACGCACACGCACTCATCTGGGTCACACGCACAGCTGGGCGGGGGCAGGACGGGCGGCGATTCCGAGCCAGGTCACCCATTTACCGCCGCCCCGTCGCGACCCTGAAACTTCTGCTTGGGCTGTGCGGAGGGCCTTGTAAACCGCCCACGGCCCGCCAAATCCGCCTTCCTCCCGCTGAGGCCAGCTCCGCTGATGACGTCACCGTGCACAACTGGTGACGTCACCGCTGTCACGGCATCTCGTCGTTGACAGCCTGAAATGGCGACGGCCGTGGCGCGGGTCTGCCTGCGGCCGCTGCGGCTTTGGATGACGTCAGATCTCTGTTCCTCTCCGGTATGACGCAGTAGGCGCGGCGGCCCCGCCCCCTGGCAGGGCAGGTCGACTACGCGTCGGAGCGGGGCTGAGGGGAGGTGTCGTCTCTCCTACTACGCGTCGGGAAAGCGACGCGGGACCAGAAGCTTCTAGGTCTGCGTATTGGCAGGGAGACCGACCCCGGGTCGACTGTCATTAGCGGCGGATGCGTGGTTCCGGCGGATGACGCTGAGGGCCGCGGAGGAGCAGGGGACGGATCGGGGAGGTGGCGGCCAGGTGCCGCCCGTTCCGCTGGCCGCCCGCAGATGGACCGGGGGTGAGCTGAGGAGCCGCCGAGGGACGGCAGACGCCGGCGGTCTGTTCCGGTCCGCGGAGACGACCTCCGGCCGACACAGGGCGTGGCCACGGGCGTCACTGAGCGGCAAACCTCAGACCGGGCCACTTAGTGGCTCCGACACCGTCAAACATGGCATCCGGTGCGCCCACGGAGCGGCCCACGGAGCGGCAAATACAGCTGTCGGCGGGGGCGAACGGCCGGCGGCACAGTCACCTCGGACCCGACACAGGCCGTATATGGTAAACGACGCCTGCAACAGGTGGCCCGTACGAACCGGGCCGTGCCTGTGGCTGCAGGAGGGGTGCAAATTGCAGTGTGCATGACAAGTGAAATACCTAATGTAGAAAGAGGACGCGGCGTACCGGACGTAATACTTTTGCGGTATTCAATGGACAGGAATGTGCGTCGACTGATTTCGGCTGTTGTGTCCGTGGCTGTGTTTTTCACCCCCCGTCCAGCTCAGTGAATGTCGCCTATGGTCGCGTCAGGTCGAGCAGACATTCTTCGCTTGTTCAGGGACACTAGAGACGCACCCCGCCGGCTGATTTCCCTGAGATTACCGCCGACTTCCCTCACAACTGACCTCCCGGATTCTGGAACGGGCACAAAGTGATTTGGGTTGTTTTCGAGGTCGGTGTCGGCCCGACTTCCGACGGGGTTCTCAGTGGGGTTCTCAGCTGGTATGTCTCGACATCGCTCGCCTTCACCAGCACCCGGGAGGGTGGGCCAAATTTGGCGGCCGCCCGCCCGGGGTCGGCCCGCCGGCGAGGGTGAGGAAGGGCGCGCAACTGGCGACCGTTGGGCGCGCGCAATGTTTTGAATCGGACGCCCGGGGCGGGGCGGCGAGGACGCCGGGCCGCGGGCCAGGCGGCAGGTGGTGGTAGGTCGGTGATCACGCACAGTAGACGGACGGGCAGATGGCTGTTACCGGGTGGGGTCGGCCGCCGCCTCGGGGCTCCAGCTGTCCCGTCAGCTGACTGCTCAGCTGTCGGCGCGTCCCCCTGCGGTTTCTGCCCCCTCTGTTGTCTAGGGGACGGGGAGGGTGGCGTCTGGCCGTCAGCTGCCGTGCGCGCGACCCCGTCCGGTCCGGTCCGGATGGGCTGCCTTGGAAGGCCGGACGCAGCTTGCCCCCGGCGCGCAGCCGGCGCTCCTTGTTTGGCTCATGGCCCCGGCGGCCCCGACGCGGCCAGGGACACCCTTCATGTCCGGCTGAATCGGCCCTGGAGCGGCGGCCGGCCCCCTCCCTTCCCCTCCCCTCGTCGGACTCCCACAACCGGTTCCCGTCAAGGTCGGGGCGGCTCTGCGCTAGTGCGCTCGCTTTCTGCCGCGCGCCGCCTGCTAAAGCGGCTCGATGTGCAGATATAATCGGAACGAGATCGACCGGTCATGGTGCGGCGCCGGCAGCGGTCCGCAGCAGCCGCTTGGCCGGGAATGGTGCCGGGGCAAGGGCCGAGGTCGGCCGGGTCACTTTGTTTTGATCCACAAGCTCTGTTGCCGGAATGGATTGTGTGCAAAATGATGTGGCGATTTTCATTTCCTCTACCGCAGAGTCTGATTTGTAGGTGAGGGTCGTAGCTTGCCGTTCAGTGGTCGAGTAAGGACGATCACAACATTGGACTGGACACAACATTCCAGGAGCGTGATAGCACACCTGGCTGGGCGGGGCGGCGGCAGGAGCCAGCGGCCGCTGTAAATATTTTGGTCCTTGGCCGGCCGGTGCCAGCAGCGGTGACGCGGAAAGGTGATCCGAGCGCCGCTGCCGGCCGCCAGGCTGGCCCGGAACTCACCACCGTTATTCGGCGCCCGGCCCGCGAACCGCCGACCGACCCCGGTGCACAGTTACACGGCGCGTGACAAGAAACCAACGGCCGCCGGCGCACCAGGAAAGGCTGCGGCCCATGGGTTAATGAACGGCCGCCGCCGGGTTACGGTTCGTCGACTCATAAACGAGTTACAGAACAATGACATGAGCTTCCACTGCACGGGTTTGACTATAGGTTTCAGCTGTCCGATGACAGCCACGTTTCACGGTCGGCAGCTGACATTTCGCCGTCGGTTCTTTGCCGTGTGAACTTTTCCGGCGGTGCGGATGTACTCTATCAGCGGTGGGCCCCCACGGTGACCGATAGGCAGGCCGGTGACCGTTAGCTGACGCCCAGGTGCGGGTAGTGTGTACCTTCGTCCTTGGCCTGTCTTTGATGTGTTTCTTCGTTGTGGGAAATGTGTAATTGGTAGAGAACCTAGATTTATCGTTGAACACGTGCGACCCTAAGCTATGACCCTTCTGCGTCCGTGATTGGTTGTGACCTGTGACCTGACCTGTTCCGTTTCTCCGTTTCAGAATGGCAGTGAAGTGACGATGGGCATGCGCGATGGCTCAGCCCAGGTGCTCCGGTGTCTGAAGGTATGGTACGAGCTACCTCCGGACGTCCTCTTCATCGCCCTCAACATCATGGACCGCTTCCTGAGCCGGATGCGCGCGCGACCCAAACACCTCAGCTGCATCGCCATCAGCTCGTTCCACCTGGCGGTGGAGTACGCGGCGCGCGAGCAGCCGCAGCTGGCGGCCGCCGCGCGCAGCCCCGCCGACCTGGTCAACATCAGCCAGGCCAAGTGCTCGGCCGGCGACGTGGTGCGCATGAGCCGCATCATCGCCGACAAGCTGGGCTGTGACCGCGGCGCGGCCACCCGGCCCGTCACCGCCGCCGACCTGGTGCGCATGCTGACCGCCCTGCTGCGCCGCACCGCCGACCGGCTGCCGGCGCCGCTGGCCGAGGCCGTGCGCGCTGTGGACGCCGAGGCGCTGGTGCGCCGGCTCGAGAGCCTGGTGTGCACGGGCGCGGCGTCGGCGGCGCGCAGCTGTGAGCTGGCGCTGGCGCTGCTCGCCGGCCGGCTGCACGAGCTCTGCGACGGCCAGGAGACGGCCGTGCTGGTGCAAGACCTGCAGCACTTCTGCCGGGTACGTACCGGGGACGGGCGGAGCTTAACTCACTTTTTACTCTGTCTATGGTAATTGAACGTTCCAGGAAGCCGTTGGACCGGACCACTGTCATCAGCCGGGGTCAGGTCGCTGGCTGCGGTCGCGTGACGCCACACTGCGCACTAACCACCTCCGTCCGGGACGCGGCCCCGATTCTTTTGTTTGTTGCCACACGCGATGTCACCATGGACGGACAGGCGTGCTTCACGTGCACTGTCTCGGACCTAATCGAACCGCTCGTGCGCGAAGAGGCAGTGTTTTGCGCGGTTTTACGCAGCACGATGAGTGCATTCTGAATAGCTGGGTACTTTTTGCATTTGTTTGTCACGCAGCTTCCTGCGCCAGTTTTTCGCTTAGTTCTGCATTGTGGTGGTCGCGACTTGAAGTCTGCACGTATTCATCATTTAAGACCGGTCTAACAATGTTACGGCAGTAACGGTAACTGGTAGCGGGCTGTTTGAACCAGCACTTCCTGTTAAGCCACCAGACTCCGCTTCAATCACCATTTTATCCAATCGTATCCTGTAATCCCCATCACTGACCATCTGTGTCATGCTCTTCCACAGATCCAGGACGCGTCGTTCATCAAGACGCGCGAGCTGGTGTCTCAGCTGGTGGCCAACTACAACTCTGCCGGCTGCACCCCGCAGCGCGCGCGCCAGAGGCTCATGTGGCGACTGTCCAACAGGACGCTCAAACAACTGCGGCCCACCACCCGGCTGCGCTCTGTTCTCCCCACCATCGAAGAAAGGTGAGAAGGCGCGGGACTGACGGGCGAGGAGGTGTCAGACGCTAGGGTATGAGAGGGTTAACTATTGGGTGCAGCGACAGGGGCGTTCTGGACTTTGTTCATCCGTTACTGCTCGTACCAAGAGTGGCTGTTGTGGTCGACGAGATATCGATAGTCTGCTTTTGATCTTTGGATCAATTTCAATTGTCGTCAACGGCCGAGTGCCGAGCGATTGTGTATCGTTTTCTGTACAGGGATAATAGTTGTCAGCTGCAAACTGATTGCATCAGCAGTGCACGCGGAAAGTACCGCGATTGTTTTTGTGTCGCTAGCTGACGATAGCGGTAGAACTCATCCTTTGTCCTGGGTCATTGAGCCGAGCTGAACCCTCAAGGTCGCCTACCTGCGAACCCTGACGCCCCGATCCCGTGATGGCAGCGTATCGTTCCGCGGGAGACGCCTGCTTTTTGTGGTCCGGCGAGGTCGGTGGTTCGGGTGGTGACGCTCCGCCGCGGGCCGACCGTTTCCCCGTTCGAGGATCAAGGGTGCGCCGCATCACTCGTTCTTCCCAACCTTGTGGTCGGATACCATCAGCCTTGGCCTTGGCAGCAGCCTTTACCTTCGACACTATCCGGCCCGGCCTTGGTGCGCTGTTTTGTTTTCCCTTCGGCTCCGCGTCCTCTCGACCTCTGTGCCCGCATGCCATCACTGCGTGACTCGTCGGACGCAGCTGGGCCACCCAGCTGTGGCCCGTGGGACGCGAGTTTTTTGTGCCGTTGGGTTTCTGGGACACGTCTTTCGCCCGGAGGGGCCACTTGTGAGTCGCGCGGTGGGTGTTGACTCGCGTCACGTGAAATGAGTTACGTGCCCGCGACATGGGCCGGGCTTCTCGCGGTCTCGGCTGAGAGTGGCAGTGGTCTCGATACGGTGGTTTTTGTTCTCCCTCAGTGTACTGACGGCAGCGCTCCCCCTCTGTGTGTTTCAGCTGGGACTCTGCGGGCCCGACGGTGACCTCGCGCGGCTCTCGGCGCCACCGCTGGACGGCCTGTGGCACCGACTGTAACCAGGCGTGCGTGCGGCCGGCGGCCAGCGCGGCGCCGGCTCCCGCCGCCGTCTTTACAGCGCTGCCAGAGGACTGAGCCGGCGGCGGCCACCGGCGGCCGCGCGGCCCACCGCCCGCCGCACCCACCCGCCGGCCGCGCGGCGCGACCCAACACCAGGAGACGCGCCCCGCGCCGGCTAACAGTTTCGTCGTGTTTTGCTTTTCACATGTTTCCAATGTCATTGACGCAGTGTCCATTCGGAAAACGTTAAAAAAACGTACAAAAAGTACTTGGAAAGCAAATTGTCATAAAAAGTTAAAAAGTACAAAAAGTCAAAAAATGTGATAGTGTGTAGCATGAATGTGCGTACATGATGTGTGGATGTTTGGCTTCCAACTTGCGCCCTATATTCAACTTTGTTTGCACACAAAGTCGTATTCATACTGGTAGCAATTGGCGGCTAAGTTCAGAAACAACTTACTTCCGCAGTGATTTTATGAGTGATGCTTCTTGCCTGTCCTGTCGCTAGTAACCCGTTTGTTTCCGTTCTGATTAGTGCAATGGCCGCGCGGCGTCGCCCGGCGACGGTGCGCGGGCCGCCCGTCCCCCAGAGAAGCTATGTTCGTCCCGTGTGTGTGGAGCGCGTGTCTGCAGGCCCGCCCGAGTGGGGCGCCGCGCGTCCGGCCGCCAGCGCACCTCTAGTCAGCGCGGCGGCGGCCGGGCGCGCACCCAAGTCAGCGGCGTCTCTGCGCGCCCTCCGCAGGGAGGGGTCCGCGCGCGCGCCGCCGTCACCGCCGGCCGGATGACGCCGCCCTGAAGCCCGACCCTTACCGGGCGGCCGACGGTGCGCCGGCGGTGGCGGCGGCGGGCGCGCGGCCGCGGCGCCGGCGGCGGAGCGGAGCGCGCGGCCGGCCCGGAGGACGCCCCTCTGACGGCGTCGTACCCGCCGTACCGAGGGGCCGAGGGTGCGGCCGGCCGCGCGCGACGAACCGCCGCCAGGGCCGCCGTGCACGGCGCCGCCGCAATAGGTGATCAGTGATGAGACAATAATGATGATTGCGTGACAGGGCGCCGCTATGCGGCCCCGGCGCCGGCCCGCGGGCATTACAAAGGCCAGTGTCCCCCGGCCGGCACCGTGCCCGCCGCGGCCCGCAGACCGACCCATCCCGCCCCGCCCCCAGCTCCCCCTCCCCTCCCCTCCCCAGCTCACCCACTGAAGTTCGCTGCCGCTTTGACGCAGAGACAGTTGGCGTTTCGGCTATCTTGTGACATATTGCGAAATCGAGAAATACATGTATTATTTTTTCTCACACTGTTTTGTCTGACGCGAGAACGCTGCCGAGGGCATGCGGCGATTATTTGGACATCGGACAAATCACTTCACACTGCGCGGGTCCTCGCCGAGGACCGTTCGTCACTCCGCGATCACCGAATCCTTCGATACAGATATATGACATTATAAACTATTCATCATTGCATTGTTGGGATGGGCGCGCGGCGGCGGCCGCGGCCCCTATCGCCTGTGAGGCGGTGCGTGCGGGGCTCTGCTCAGACCTCGCCCTGGTTATCGTACGAGTTGTACTGGACCCAGTCTCGGGCGATGGGAGCGGACAGCATCTCCTCGGGGATGCCGAACGCCTCGACCAGCTGCAGCATCTGCGGTCCGAGCTCGGTGCACAGCTTGGCCGCCGTCAGGTTCACCTTGGCTCCCAGCTGGGGAACAAAGGGGGAGAGGGATGTCAGTAGTGGGACATACGGTCTGATATGCTTACATGGTAAGCCTTTCATGTCCCTCGCCGGGCTGTCGGGAGAACTGCAAACAGCTGCGGGTTTAGGTGACAGATGGGATGCATGAACAACAGCACAGACAGAACACAACAGCGCGGGCCTGGCTGCACTGGGTGTCTGACATTTCACCTGAAGTGTCCGATCGTGTGCATTGGATCTCTATGTATGTAATAGGCCTTGTAGCTCAGCAAGCGACACATGATCCGCAGGGGGGGGGGGATTCATGTAATGTCAGACCAGGAAGGATTAGCTCAGCTGCATGGAAATGCATTCAAAACATCCGGGTTCAATCATATTCTGTTAGGTCAGATTAACCATGTTGCATAACAACAACTTCCTGAAAACTTAACACAACCATACATTATTACCACTTCGTTAGAGAGTGTGTGAAAATGTGCATAGCCAATAACACTGGGTCTGCGGCTTAACACATCATAATGCCAAACTTTCACGGCAATTCCATTCAAATGATATGCAGCCATTGCTATTCAGTAACCTACATCTGTGCATGCAATCAGCCTATAATACATTACTCCGATCACGCAAGCGTCTATACGGCGAATAAATCCATAGTAATGGTCCTCCAAACCGCAACATCCACTGGCAATACTGGATCCGAGCGCTCAGCAGCTTGGCGCTCACACTGGCAGGATCCGCGGCCCGGCACGGGCTCAGAAATAGCTGGTTTCATCACATTACCTCCACTGCACAATTACAAAACTCGACGGGGCGATGTTACAGCGATTACGACAGCCCGCGGAGCGTCAGCGATCACAGCGCCGCAGCTCGTCACGTCATGACATCTGACGTTACGGCGTGACGTTATTGTCACTGACGTGTGCGCCCATCCTCCGTCACGGCAGCTGATAAAGGTGGTAAACAAAGCCAGCGACAGCCGCTCCCAAGCCGCTCCGTGACGTGCCCCCACAGCCTTCGAGGTCAGGCCGTTTAAACCACGGCGAGGGGGCACCATGAACGTTATGACCTCTGATCATCGCCTGCAACGAAGCACCGTCACCACCATCTCACCACGGTGGTGACCGCGGAATCGACCACCAGCCAGGGACGGCGCCGCTGTTTAACTCTCAAAGTGGAGCACGGGGTGCCGAGAGCACGAAGCGCCGACAGACACGGGGGGTGCATAGAGATGGCAAAGGCCGCGGGGAACACATCGTCCCACATCGCCCGTCGTTTGCCATCCCGGGGTCAGACGGGCCGCAAGACGCCATCCGAACCCCGCAGGGCCTCACAAGGACACCAATGACGCAGTGCAAGGAGAGTGGTGCATCCTGCACCTGAGCGGCCCGGCCGTACGCTGGCTGAATAACAATGCACTGCCATCAGGTACCACCCAATGGGAGTCGTGCTGCACAGGAGCCGCCGCTAACACAGCACGTCTCAGTGGACCAATTACGTCCGGGCCGGGCCACCTCGAGTCGAGTCGTGCCGTGCCGTGCCGTGCCGTGCCGCCGGGGCCCGGCACCAGCCCCGCCTGGATCAGCTGGGGAGCATTATCGATCGAGTGACCACCGACACCGGAGCCAGCGCGAGCGTTCACAAAGGCAACGACACCTGGGCGGATCGCCGGGCGTTCCCCTACCCTGGAAACACGCGCAGGGGAAGCGGCGTGTGCAAAAACCCAGCACAAATGATGTCGACGCTATTCGCGTCAGTGAATCGCAGCAGGCCGACGAGCGTCAAACATCACAAAAACAGACAAAGGGCAGAAGACCATCAAGAAGCGGCGAGCAGTCCAATAACGAACGACAAGCGTGAGACTAACGACTAACGCATAACGATGAACGTGATTTACGACGAAGGACTAACGAGTGTTGTTGAAAAAGAAGCAAGCAGCGACTTACAACGAATGACCAGCGACAATAGACTCTCATCCTGTCAACAAAGCACATGGAAAAGGACAATATACTACATACGGCAATAGCCCAGCTACCAGAAAGCCGCAGCCAGCGACTATCCAGCGAGCCGCCAGCCAGCCGTCCAGCGCCGCGCACCCAGTCGGTGGCCGTACGGACGGATGGGTCAGCGCACACACGCTCCAGCTCTGATGACATCATTGGCTGACGCAAGAGCCGGCGCACACGCGTGCGCCGCACGCAGCTGATGGGTACCGCTAGCCGGGCGCGTGCGGCTGACGCGCGTGCGGGAGTCGGTGAACGGACGGTTATATCGGGCAGGTGACTGGATGGGTCAGTATGGGGTGAGATGAGACGAGTGATTCGGAATATGTAGTCCGTCACACTTAAGGGCAGGAAGGGCTTAGAACGGAGTTTAAAACACAGGAAGGGGTTGAATACGCAGGAAATGGTTGAGATACACGGGTAAAGGTTGAGATACGACATACCGGCATACCAACCTAATGACAGACAGGAACGGCGAGGACGGGTAGTGAGACGACCCACATTGCAGCGGTGCGCAATGGATCAACATATGGCACCGTGCCAGGTGAGACCACCGACGGAGCAGAGCTGAGCGGACCAGGTGGGAAGGCACACGGTGCGGAGGACCGTCAGAGCTCCGCGGGACACCGCCCGCGCACTGACGGCTGAGACGACATAAACCATCTGAACAGCCGCACACCATCAGAGTTCGAGTCTGTCTTCAAGGCGGTACGTCAGATTGAAAGACGGAGACCATCCAGTCAGTGTAGTCTAATATAACGCTCGCCACCTCCTACGCATCCATGACAGCTGTAAGAGGAACTGCGCAGCAGAAGACTGTCCCCTCCCCAAATAGCTAGCAGCGCTGCGACCTGCGAGGGAGAGCGGTCGGGCCATGACCGGACATCCGTTCTATGGACTCTGCTGTGACCGATGTGGCACGCAGTAGATACGGTCACGGAAGTGGTCCGCGCGGCTGCGCTGCATATTCAACGCGCCTGGGGTGCGATACATTATCGCATACATGCGTCAAAGCTTAGCTTTTACCAATCGGGTATGCGATATGCATTGAGTGCGTCAATCCGAGCGATTCCAAGGCATCCCGCAATCAAGCGGACTAGCTCGTCAATCCGACAATCGTTCTGACTGTTGCGTTATCATGAAACATGCCATGATACATCGTTTGGCATGACACATCCCTTCTCCCCTCCCCTCCCGCTGACGCACCCGACATCTATCAGCCGCGAAATCACACAAAACATGGACCGTTTTTGCACCTCCAATGACTGAGTGCACTGGCCTCACGGTGCGTGGGGTGTACAAAAACCCGAGCAAGAAGTCGCGTTCACATCTGTTGATACGATGGCTCTAAGCGTCACAATGAGTTGGCAGAACCCTAGCAGGACGATATGTGGCGAGTTATGGCGGCTTCGACCTAGGTTGAAAGGAGGGCGAAAGGACTGCGACGGACGGCTTTCACTTTCGGCTATCGCGCTAACTGGGGTACGGGGAGGGGTTAGTAAGGTGTGTTAGCATTCAACAAGGGAAGGATTAGTGCATGATAACGCGGTGGAGGTTCCTTGCTCAAGACCACAGGGTGGAGGGTGCGACACTATCTGGATCCGGATTCCGGGAACTCTGTAGCATTAGTCACAGGGACACAGGGTACGCCCTGCGATGCCTCATGTCCTTCGATGTCCTGTTTGAACGCTGTTGCAGGAATAAATCAGTTCACAAGCCGGCGGCGTTTCAAGTTGGTTCCGGAGCAACTTTGCTGAAGTTCAACAAGTCTTGACGGCCAAAAATAAGACAAGAACCATTTGAGTCATACAACTGCGCGGAAATCGAGATTGTGTCTGGGTGGTTGAATTTCGCGTGAGTTCTGTAGCTTCGGTATTTTTCTATTTCCTAAAAAAGAGGAGCTCCGATGCTGCGCCATAAGCGTCATGTCGATACACAAACATGAAATGGATCGACTCCTGCGAATGGAAAGACGTTCGCAGCACAAAAAGCAAGCAAAAATGACAGACACCAACGTCAGAACAGCTACCGCTGATAATATTGGAAGAATTCAAATGGGCCTGTATACTGCTGCACCCGTATCGCAAACCAAATGCCTTTGAAGAGAGGAGCATTAAACAGTCTTTCTTAATCGCACGACATTTACTTTCAGGTAAAAGGCCAGGAGTGACTTCGCGGGGCCTTCTCAGCCAGCATGCGCGGACACATACATAACTGATCACTCAACCACAACCCCGTAAACCATCTACTTTATGCAGATGAACTGGAGTGCCCTGTCCGTTACAAAGCATACCCCTCGACCCATCAAATACACCAGATAATATGTTCGATTTACCAGCGCAGCATTTCAGCCATCCCAGAAGAAACTCGGCGGTTTTGTATTATGACAGCTTTGTAGGAACAGCGATGGAACCTTGATCTTTTCGATGTCCTATCCACAACAAGTTTCTGGTGGTTTACGAACATTGATTGAGTAAAACCACGCTATGTTGAGCATGAAGTACGTACTGATAAAAGCTCCCTCCCCGAAATTCGGCTGCTGGCGCCGCCCCTGCCAGCGTCCCTTACCCGGCCCGCTCGGTACCAGCTCAGTCCGTCAGAGTCACCGTAAACAGTCGGTGCATCGTGCACCCATTCTGTTTATTCCAAAGGGCTCCTCTGGCAGCGCGGCCGCTTAGACAGGATCAGCCTCTATCAGTCCGTATCAAAGTGTCCAGGCCGATCAATATCCAGTGGTGCTCTTTGATCCAGACCGAAGATTTGGCGTCGCAAATCCCGTTTGTAAGAAATAACATCTTACTGACGGGAATTCCGTGATTAATAAATCCGCCATAGCAGGTGTGGTATGAAAGTCATCGACATAACACTTCCTCAGGATAGCATCTCCCCAATACCTCTATCTAACCTCAATTGAACAAAGACATTACTCGTATTCTCTTGTTTGTCCACGTTGAACGAGAATACGATTCCAGAAATCAAGGCTCCACGGCGACTAAACAGTGCCCACACTTCACCACAACCGAACCTCCCTATCTAATATTCCTCTCCCTCACTCTCTCACCTTAGACGGCAGCAACCCGCTGCAGACAAACTGTCCCAGGTTGTCCCTCCCTCCCTCCCTCTGCCCCTCTCTCTCACCTTGGAGGGCAGCAGTCCGCCGCTGCAGACAAACTGTCCCAGGTTGTCCCTCCCTTCCTCTCCCCCTCCCTCCCTCTCCCTCTCTCACCTTGGATGGCAGCAGCCCACTGCAGACAAACTGTCCCAGGTTGTTCTCCATCACGGTCAGCAGGTGCAGGTGGTACAGCTTCTGCAGCGTCTTCTTCAGCGGCTCGTCCGTCTGCTTGGAGATGACGTCGGCGAACCGCTCGGAGATCAGACGGTCGGCGAAGGCGCGCGCCGAGCCCTGCACCAGGTCACTCTCCTTCAGCATCCACGTGTCGAACAGCTTCTCCTTGCCGGCCTGTGGAGGAGACAGGGGGAGGGGGAGGGGTCGAGTTTGTAACTAGGATTCACATAAATTTGTTTGAGCATGAGCTACCTGTTATGACTGCCACGTCGGGAAATACACGCACCTTCAAAACAGCATTAGACGCCGGGTCGACACTGCGCAACTTCGAATAACACATTGGGGTATTGCTACTCGCAATTTAGGGCTGGAACAAACACATCGCTTCAAAGCTGCATCGAATGAAAAAAATATAGTACCTTGTTGATATAGCTCCCAAGACATTGCTCCACAGAATTAGGGTCCAGGGTCCACTATTTCGGGCTCTGACCACAACCTTCCCGCCCGCTCCAATCAAAATACAACTAGCTGACAACCCCTTCTCAGAACAGATTGCACTAAGCATGACACTTCCACGAATACCATACGGTACGTTTTACTCCGCTAATGGGTAGCAGCCAGCATCGACCTTATAATAACCCATTGGCTAGGGCCAATAAACCCAGGTAACTCGTGGCAATAAACCAAAGCCGCTGCGGTCTGATATCTCTTGAAGGGTGTTATTGCAAGCGGTCCTCGCAAACTCGCTAGAAAACAAAGAAGCTCTAAATAATGCATCGCTCCTAAATAGCTTGGCCACCCCAAACCATAGCCGCAAAGAACATGAATAATATACCTTGTGTACACTTCTCCTATGGTTCCCATGACAACCACGCACGATCGTAACTCAATTCCACACTCACGATCGCCCCTCCAAACCAGCACCTACACGGATCTACACCTTCACCAACTACCGGCTTACATCCCCATCCACTTAGATTACGATCGCTGACATCACACGCAAGGTATCCCACTCAGTTTTAGGTGCAGAACCCTACAACTCGTCACGGACGGCTGCACGTCGTACCTAACAACGACCGTCGTTCGTTGCGGCGTCGACCGCACGGCCACGCCCTCCATTTGGGTTGTCATTTCCGCGGAATCCTCTATTTACAACCTTTTCAGTCGATGTAACGCGTAGGGGTCATATATGTAGTACTGCAGGGGTAAGGGACTGCAGGCCGGATAGGGGTGGTTTTACAAGGTGAGGTAATGGCGGACAGTGAGTATCGGACCACATCCGTCAGTAGCGGAATATAATACACAGCGCGACCGCTGCACAGTGTGGCCAAACACCAATTTAGCGCGAATTAAATCCCAGCGCTGCTCGGATCCGTTGAAAATGGTTCCCTGGTTTCAAAATTGACACTTAAACCTATGTGAGACCTTTTACGATGCATTATAAATGCTTGCTGACATATAATGGCATAGTTCCGCCTCTAAAAGTAAGGAGAACTAGCTTACGACGGGTGATGTGCTTACCAGGCCAGGGCTTTGAAGTCGATAGAGTTACTCCGACTCCGACTACGGCTTTCAAAAGTCAATTTCAACTCTGACTCCGGGCAAAACTGTCGACTTATACGATCGACTCGGACTCTGACTCCGCAGTCATGGCAAGTCCACGCAGCCGATGGATTTTCGGTGATTCAGACTACGAGTCTTGGTCCGGATTCCAAAATCGATTCCGATTCCGACTCTGACTGCAGGGTCAGAACTGTTGACTCCGAACGACTCCGACTCTGATTACGAAATCCTGGAATTTAACCGCAAATAAGAGGCATAAAATTGTGGGTCCCAGCCATGATGGGCATGTTAGGAGGACGAATCGTTTACGAAATTCCCATTATTTCTCTGGTAAATTCTTATGATTGTCCAAAGTTTGCTTGAAAAAAATTAACATCTAATTATGTTTCTATGTGAATGTTCCTGGTGAAGCACATGAATCGGTAGATGGTTGCTGAAATACACGCACCGATAGGACTGAACCTCAGCAGTGGGAGTAAAAACAAAGACTTACACCATAAGCACCTTCATGTCATTAACCCTCGCCTGTATTGGTGTTTTGCTAGCGGCGAACGTAGGTCGGGTCAGGTCAGGTCAGGCCAACCAGTCCTGCCGGGTATTCATAATTAATAGGTGTCAACCGCCAGTGACAGCTTTGTTGCATGTTCCGAAGGCACCAAAACTTCTTCCTAAATGTTCAAATGGTTACTAAATTCGAAATCAGCTCCAAAAACTAGCCTGGAATCATGTAAAAATAAAAAAGGTGAACCGAGGTCATCAAAGGTCATTGAACTGACCTAACCTTCAAGTGATCTTGACACCGACCATAATGCATGGGACCAACATCATAATATCACATGTTTAGACGCTTGAAACCACGAAAAGACTGCAAACGCGCGGCTAATACAAGCAAACATACGCCCAATCGCGCTTCCGGCCAAACATGGTCTCGAGAAATAGGTCACAGGTCAAAGGTCACTGGGGTTAGGGTCGTGAAATTTAAAGGGTAGGTGTAAAATTGATAAACTCGAGGGTACTGAAAGTTTCGTCGCGATCGGCCGCTTTTTACTTGAGCTTTTTGCGAAAACCGAGAGGGGTACTTTCGACCCCCACCATCACCCCCTATATGGGCGAGGGTTAAAAAATTCTCAAGATTTATTCATTGGCGACCGTATTCTGCAATATAACAAGTCAGAAATACAGCGGTTGAGCCATTCGCGTAACGTTACGGAGCCGCCGCCGCGCCCACCCTGTAGCCGGACCTCCCCGGGCGGGCCAACCCGATACGTTCAAAGCTGAGCCAAAGGCCGGGGGGCAGGTTGGGGCAGGGTTTCTTGAATGGACCATGTCCAGAAAAGTGTGGCGAATCTTCTCATGGTAAATTTGGCGTGGAGTTTTTTGGCCATTTTCTTATATCTCTACGTTTTTAAGATGGACAGTGTTTTCAGGGGATGTTTGAAAAGGTCATTTTCAAATGAGCATAACTCATCGGTTAGTCCAAGGATACCTATAGAATTCGGGTATACTATCAAATATAGGCTTAGTAGTCATATGCCACTCCAATTATTTCCAATCCTTTCCGACAATTACGCCAAAATTTGTTGTAAACATGACGCGGGTTTTCGACGATTTCAGCACAGCCGGGACCGACATTGCGTATGTCCACTTTAGCTAGCTTTTTGGACACCGAAAGGAAGACATTGAACCAAAGTATTGTGATATTGACATACTTTGGACAATTTTCTATCGACTGATAGTTATAAAAAGTCAAAATTCAAAAATTCGTTTTTTGCTTAAATTCGCGCTAATCTGGCATTTGGCCACACTGTGCGCTGGTAGGGGCCAATAATACTCGGCGAGCGTGAGTTTAGACGATCGATCGTGCAACCTCATGCTTTCCAGTACAAAGCATGAGGAGGAGAACCAATTAATTGTCTTTTATAGCTTGAAAGGTATGTGCGTACAGCTCATGGCTTACCGTTAAAGCCGTGCGTGCGCATCGAGCATTAATAACCGAAACGACCTACCTCTCTAATGATAAATCACCACCAGTAACTAATAGCCTAGTTTACCGATGGCGTTCAACAGGCTCGGTGTAAGCCATTCATGCTGTAACTACAGTAAATCCTTACCCAATCGCGTTTTTACTGTGCCTCCTTTCACAAAGCCTTGACGTGAATCACGGAGCAGAGAACAAAGACACGGACGGGACACGCTCCCTATCACCCCATACGCCTCGGTGTACAAAATAAAACGCCATGATTCGTCAGCAGCACAGCTGAGGCGGTGTTGTGTTCACCTTGTCAGCAGCACTATTACAACTTATACTTCAGACCTCTAACAAAGAGTTGACATTGTACCTGAACTTACTACTGTTAACCCGGCCGGGCCCGGGGGGTAATCCCAACCACCGCAGCCCGGGGGGGGGGGGGGGCGTTTTTCGCCCCCCCTGTCTAACTCCGTAAATAAGGGAGCTACGGAAACAAAAGCGGTACCAAACGAAAGGTCCTTACCAGACGATTCTAAAGCACCTAAAATTTTTGACCTCAGGTCAATTTTCAAGGTCAGAGGTCAAGGTCAAAGGCAAAAACCGGCACATGTGTAGTGATCTCAAAGTAAGCCTTCTAGAGGACGGCAGGCTGCATCAAACCGGCAAAATTGGGTGTCAAACGAAAGAAGAGAATCTGAGGATTCCGAAAATGTGTCTAAAATTAAAGGTCAAGGTCAAGGTCACGCTCAAAATTGACCTCAAACTTGGCACTTTTTCGCACATCTTGCGTGCTAACTTCCAAGATGTTTTGAAATGTTTTGAGGCTTATCAGTTCCCTATTTGTGGTTCATCTTACGATACAAGGCTGCTCAAAGGTCAAGGTCACAGAAGAGTATCCCTGCTAGAGGCTATTTCACTGATTCAAGCTAGTAATAATAAATAAGACAATTTTGCCGTCCAGAAGCTCTAAATGAAGGCTTAGAGGAAAATAGATGCCAGATTCGTGATCAGCGGGTACAAATCCATCATAAATGACCTCTCATGTGTCAAGGTCAACCAGAGGTCATTCGAGGTCACATGAGGTCAACATAAAACTTGACCTTTTCCGAACAAAATATATATCATTCGACGCGGCTTGACAAGGCGAATGCGATGGTACCATTGCCGTAGCTCTAGGACCTTTTTTGTCGAAGTTATTTGCGAAAAACTAGAATCACATTTCGGGGTCGTTGACCTGACCTCTGACCTCAGGTCACCAAAACTATTTTTCTATTTTTCTCTAGGTCAAACGCTACACAGCCGTGCTCGTAATTTGTCTTTATCTCTAAAACTCTATTTTTAGCAGCTATTTGAAGTTTGCGCCTGTGACGCCGAAGTTTGCCGTGCAGGGGTCTAGAAAAATAGACCTTGTGACGTCATCAATGGGGCTAGGTCCAAATTTTTTACTTCAGAAGATGTCAAATTGATGGGAGAAAAGGTACTGAAAGTTTCGCTTTCCTATCCCTAAGCGTTCGGGAGCTATCGCAAATATTCGCCAGGGGGGGGCGAAAAACGCCCCCCCCCCGGGCCCGCGAGGGTTAACGCCAGACGCCTTGAGACCCTAATTTTTCGCGATTATTTTAAAATGCGTGGAATGATTTCAACCATATTTAGGAAATAGCTGTTTCAAGACCTGCCGAAACTTTTTCTTCGAATACATTTTGTTGTCACTTAAATATTTGTGGCACTTGTCATTGACTCGTAATGTTAACTGTTTTTCCATCCTGGATAGAGGCTTTCATACGTCATATGACATTAGGCTCCGCCCACGACTGCGGCATTGACCCGTGCCCATCAGCGACCTCTGTACAAACGACACACCTGCCATCTGTAAAGGACTATGAATTTCGCTGACGTTTCACGTGCTATGAATCAATTGCAGCAGACCGTCAAGTAGGTAAATGTAAGGCTCTTGTTGACTCTTGTAGGTATATGGGACCAAGAGGACCATCACTCCTCAATCTACTACTCACACATGCTTCGAAAAAACGTTAACGATTCCTAACAAATACGATTTTCGATGTAGGATATCTGTTTGGTGAAATACGAGCGAGCCTTATGATGTGAAGCGAAGGCATTAGCTAATTATTGCGCTGGTCGATGGGTGCATAGCGATGTACAAATCAGGAGCTACTTGATGACATCCGACATCCCATTATCGCATTATCTGCAACGCCATAGGCAGGTGAATATTTCCTAACCTTATGTCATTTATATTCCATCTGTCAGTCAGTTGCAGCTTATAAAAAATAAAACAAATATCAGTGAACATATCAGCATTGTACAATGTACAAGCAATGCGCATTGAGCATTTATGGCTCCTCAGTCATCATGTCGCTCTTTGGGCACTGTCAGACAAGACGTTACGCACAACTCCGCCGGCTTTCGGCACCGCTCGACCGTCCCCGCTCCCCGCCACAGCGCGAGTGACCGCGCGCCGGCCCGAAACCGCCGCAGGCTAAGACCACAGAGGCGGGGCTTAGCTGTGACGTCATAACGTATCACAGACTGACTGGTGATAGCCTCTACCCGCCGGGTGAAAATCTTGCTCGAAATTTAACATTACGAGTCAATGAGAAGTGCCTGAAATATTGAAATGGCGACAAAATAATTCTAAATTGTAAAAGTTTCGGCAGGTCTTGAAACGGCCATGTCCTGAGCTTGGTTGAAATTCCTCTATGCATTTAAAAATAATCGCGAAAAATTAGGGTCTCAAGAGGTCTGGCGTTAACAGTAAGTATGACGACAACGGGACTATAGGCGTATCATCCCGAAAAAAACCAGCTAATATGCCTAAACTCAGTTGATAATAAAGGTGGCATTTTGAAGTGGGACCAGCCATACTCCCTAACAGCACATTCGAAAAGCGGCAGGTTCCCATCCACACATCCACCCATCCGTTTGTCGTCCATACCTGATAAGTTTCATTACGTTACCTTCATGAGTTTCATAGAGTTCACACTCCGTACCTTAATGAGTTTCATACATTTCACACTCCCTACCTTCATGAGTTTCATGCCGAGCAGTCCGAAGGCGAGGTTCTCGCGCGAGATGAGCAGCTGGTGGAGGACAGACGTGTCGTCCAGGTCGACATCCACCGGCTCCGGCATGGACGGCATGAACGCAGAGAGGCGCTCCTTGGCCACCTGAGGGCGGAGAGGGGAGGGGAGAGGTTAGTGAGCGCCGACAGACGTTGCTTGGCCACCTGAGGGAAAAAGAGGGCGGGGGGATCAGAGGTCAGGTCGGGTTGGTGACAGAACTACTGGGTCTGCTTCACTGCGGATAAGCTGTGTATGTGATTAAGCTATTAGCTGTGGATAAGGTAAGCTTGATGTTAGATGCTAGGTCCGGTAGGAGTCAGAACAACAACTGGTCAATAAGATTCAGACAGCTATCACGTCGAATACAGACTGACACGGGTCAAGTCATACGACGGGCCATGTCACATCGAATTAGGCAGGGCCAGATCGGGAACTCTTCGACTGGGAAAGAGGCCAGGTCAAGTCCGATATGGTTAGCTGGTCACTAGCCCAATCTCCCAGGTCGACGGAAGCATCAATTTAGACCAGACCGATTCCATTCATCTTGCAGTGGCGATGTCGGCCCACCGGTTCAAAATGAGTTGTTTGTTTACGGGTCGATATCGCCCGCTCACGCGAGGAGCTGAATTACACGGTATACGGGGACTGAGAGACTGGAGCCAGGCACGCTATGGACACCAGAGAGTGAAGAAACTCCTCCAGACAAGGCTCAGCGTCACAGAACAGGCTCGGTTGCAGCAGGCAACGTGTCTCGCTCAAAGTTACAAAACAGAGGGAGCGAGAGGCGAACTCACGAACGAACAACTAAACACAGAGAGACATAGAAGTCTGAAGATCAGAACAGACACATAACAGCTTGGAACAGAGTCATCACGCCTGTGTTTTGCAATATGATGTAACGTTCTATCAGTGGCTTGAAAATACACAAAATAAAACTTCCAATACAAGTAAAAACATAGCTATTGGAAATTCTGTGTAGATGACATTGCATCACCAAACCTGTCTTCCATCAGGGCGTTGCATGAAATAATAACAGAATCCTTTTATACTAAGCCATGCGATAATTGTCTTCGTCATAATTTTATTTCACACATTCCAAAATGGAGGGCTCCTGCCTTATTTACGCAGTTGGACGACTGCTTGGACCACGATCCATTCGGAGTTACATATATGGCATAAGCGTATTTTTAATCTAACCATGCATTGTTCTATTACAGTCAAAAGTACTAATTCCGTGTAGCCACCCAAATATTGCAACAGCACTCCTGGCAGTACCACGAGCTCACTGCAAACCACCTCTGTTGGAAAGCCGCATGCGGCAACATATTACAGCCACGCGCGCACGCCGACCGGCAGAGGTGGCCCCAACTGGATGGACCAGTCCGACCACCAGATGACCAGGTTTTGGGCCAAACCAACATGGGAGGTACTTCATTCTCACCAAGTGCGGTAAACTCAATTTGGGGTAAAATACCAAACTACCCCACTCCGTAACTACAAAAATACTACCCCGAAATTAGTTAAACTAGCTTGGTGAGGTTGGGCACTTGGCCCAATCTCACCAATTAACCAATTAACTATTTTTGTAGTTACGGAGTGGGGTAGTTTGGTATTTTACCCCAAATTGAGTTTACCGCACTTGGTGAGATTGGGCCCAGTGGAACCGGGTCGGCTTAGATGGAGACACGCGTCGCAAGTCTCAACTCAGAATGACAGCTGGATATTGAACTGTACGGCACGGAGTCTTCGGGTGAAATATGCAGAAATAGAGCGGTAAGATTGGATGATGAGAAACATGAGAAACTGACACGGAAGTCTACAGAAGTCGCAATGTTTTTCTTTGTATAGATTCTTGAAAATCTCTTCAAAGCGACGCCGCTTGAGAAGGTAGTTATGTTCAAATCATACAGTCGTTGGCCCGTGTGCCGTGTTGTTAGCCTCGACTTATCCGTGCACAGATACAGGTTGTTACCTTGATACCGAGCAGAGGCATGCATTGGTGGGCGGTTGGCCTCGTCATGACTAAGTCTCAATGATGACTCACCTTGCTAAAGCAAAGTTCGACAGCCTATTATAACTCAGCCCATATTATCAGCCTCAGCCTGCCGTGGGCAGCCCAGCTCCGCTCAAGTGATAATCAAACCATTATCCTTGATCTGATCGGGCCGCTGTCATGTCTCCGCCAACCCCAGAAACCAGTTCTGCCATCCGCGTTCCTTTTTCCGCCAGCCGCAGCAGCCGGCGGCAGGCCTTTGTACTAAGCCGCTGCGAAACCCGACTCGGCTCGGCCGCGAACCAAGGCCGCCATGGCCCCGGCGCGGCGCCGCGGCCCACCCCCTCCCCTCCCCCTACTTCTCCAGCTGACTGGGGGTGGGGAGGGGCAGGTCAGGGGGCGGGGCGGGGTGTAAACAAACCGGCGTCACGGCCGCTCGGCCCACCGGGAACGGGGTCAGTTCGGCCCTCCAGGCAGACCCAGCGCGGGGCAATGGCCGTTCACAGTGCCCCGAGACCACTGCTGCCGAGGTTACCGGCAAAACATGGACGAGAGAGAGAGGAGGCCACGCCTTAGTGCATGCTCCCGAAGCGTGATATGACAGTAATAAACCGTAAATAAACAAAGGGCAAGCCATATGTTTGTTACGTTTGCATTTCACGGGCGACTAGAAAGATAGCCTTAACAATCGAGCGCAGAGTAACACTGGAGCCAAAAACAGCAGCTAGTCCTTCGACTTCCTAAAAATCCGGTAAGACGTTCAGCGTTGCGTTCCTCCCTGCAGTCAAGTCACTTTCACTGTCATTCCTACTCAATACCAACGCATTCCTAGATCGGACTGGCCTCCGCGAGTCGCGACAGCCTTGAACTCAACGAACCGCACGATTATTCTAGCGAACACAATGCGTATTGTGCAAAAATCGAGACCGAACCTCCTCCTTGCTATTGTTGTAGCAACATCTCGAACACCTTGGCCGCACCAATGCATGCGCGGCCGGGCTGAAAGTATAAAGCGATTGAGGGGTTGCCAGATATCTGGCAGCTCCCTGAGCTCAGCATTAGGTGCCTCTGGGCCAAGGTCGCCCACCGAGCCCGGATTTGCAAACGATTGTCCCAAAATCGAGACAAGGAACACCGTCGCAATTCGCTAATCTCATAATAATGGTTGGAAGCACACACGACAAATAGCGTTTGGGGAGTAGCGGAAGCTGGTGGAACCCTTCTGTGTAAAGAGAGAGAAGGTTCTGCTGGGAGCTCAGCATTGCACACGACCCGGGGTCGCTGAGGACGGGTGGAACACGGGCCGGGTCTGACGGGAGGCGCTGGCGCGGCACTCTCTCAGCCAGACAGGTAATAAGCGCCGAGCTGCAGCCGGTTACCGGGCAGACGGAAATGTCGGACCGGCTGCGGCCCGGCCAGCCAGCCGACGTATTGATTGGACAGACCAGGTCAGGCGGCTTCACAGACGCGAATAGACTGGATAGACTGGAAGGGAAGGGAGGGACGGAGACATAGACAAAGACAAGATATGGGAGATACATTAACAGTCTAATCCAGATCATTCCAGAGGATTCATCAACAAATAACGGACCCTATCGACCAGAGATGCCAAAAATGATGTCTGTCTACAAAGAATATAATAGGTCACTCGTCTGCCACAGCCAGACACTATTGAACAGCCTCTCCAGACACGCTCAGACATTCAGACCGTCATCCAGACAGCCAGGGCCATCAGTCTGCAGCCGAGCTCTGCAAAGACGTTGCGTGACCACCAGGCGCCGCCCTGCCGAACCCTGCTGTCCCCACCGTCCCCCCCCCCCCCCCCCGGCGCCATAAGACGGCAACAGGTCCGTATTGACGACTGTGCTGGGGCGTCGCATCGCCAGCCGACGCCCGACTCCGAGTCGCCGCCGTCGCCTGATGGCGTCTTCTGAGCAGCCCCAGCAACACGCCTCCATAGCAGAGACTGCTCCCAGATATAGTCGCGAGCAAACTGCCCGCTGTTAGCACATGTGTTTACATTGGGATCAGTACCATGAGAGGAGACCATGATGGGCGCTGGCGGCGCTGTGCTGGCCGTATTGAGAGCGAGGCCGAGCGGGCGGCTGGCGGCCCGTATACTCGGGTTTGTGGCCGGTTAACTGCGGGGTCGGCCGCTATCGCAGAGGTCATCTCGGTCACGATCACAGCAGACCCAGCTCTCATTTGACCGTGAAACAAACTGGCTCTCAATCAGTCGGCTGAAGGTCAACGGTTAACGACGGAAAATAGACGGGTGTCAATGAGACAATGACAGCCTGATCAGTCAGATACCAAAGCAGTGGGCAAGGCACAGAGTTTTCCTATTTGTGTTCTCTGGTGTTTCAGCAGTTACGAGTTCCGGCAAAACCATGGCGTCTGAAACACGGCATGTTACAAAATTGATCATAAAAAGGCAAGGCTGAAACTGCATTCCGACAGCCTCGACACTGACTATACCTACTACAATGTGATAGCACTCGCGTGAACATGGTATTAGGCACAAGCCCCATTTCAACACCTCGGCATGCATATCTCCGTGTTAAAGCGCGTCCTTCGAGTCGCAGGTGTTGAACCAGATCCGCGGCTCAACGCCGGGAAAAAAAATCTTATAACTGGGACAATTGCATATACTGAGGATTTTAGTTAACGACTGAACAGCGGGGTAGCTGGCCACAACAAAGAGGTAAAGGAGCATCGAGAAATAACCGCAAGGAGTGGCCATTTCCAAGCCCCGTCGAAAGTGCTATTATATGGAAGATACTTTTTTGGCCTCACAATAACGGGCTGATATGAAGAAAACCCTGGTGGCCAAGCCAGATGTGACTCAATTCAATTAAAAAAGTTCCACATTATTCGATTTTCCTTGAATAGTGATAAGCCTCCACACCACACAGGTGTACCAAATGTGCCTTAATTTGGCGCTACCATTTATCGACTGAAACCAAAATCTCAACAATAGCGCTGCACAAGTGTCCAGTCGGTCGGCAAGTGTCCCAAGAGCTACTGGCAGAGAACGGAACAGCAGTAGCGGCAGCGGCAGTGGCAGCAGCGGCAGCAGCAGCGCTGGGTACGCAGCCCGCAGTCGGCGAATCGATACCCCCCCCCCGCGCACCCTCCCCCTCGGACCACCGCGGAAGTGGGGCAGAGCGGGTCGGTGGACGGGGCGGGGGCGGGGAGGGGGGTGTCAGCTGAGCCGAGCGGAGGGAGGGAGGGGAACAGGGGCGTGGCAGGGCGGGCGGTGGGCGGGGCCCGACCTAACGGGGCGGTACAGGGGACGGGGCGGCCGGCGGAGGGTGCAACAGGTCGATAGGTATACAAAGGAAGAAACCGCATCAAGATACCACGTCACATGTCTCAAAACAAGACCATACAAACAGTGACGAAACAATGGGACACACCTCAACCATAAAAAAACAACTTATGAACAACTTAGCAACAAACAGCCCGACCACACAGCAACACCAGGACAAAATCAATCCATGGAACCTTCTCCGTCCGACCCGATGACGTCACTAGTAATCAATCACGGCCGTCTCCGTCAACCCAGTGACGTCAGACGCCTGCACAACAGCTGGGGCCTTGATCGGTCCAATAATGTCGCAGGTTGATTACAGGCCGTCGACTCGAGCGGTGACTGACATCCGGGGGGGGGGGGGGGGGGGAGGGGGGAGCCTGTCGGGGTCACAGGTCGATGGTAAGCTATCGATCGACCTCCGCGGTCTTAGCCAGGTCGATAAGAAGGCATTGGATTTGTCGACAGCTGAGTTAGCCCGCTGAGTGAAGTAAGGCTCTAGCGAGGATCAAGGTGATCAATTTAAAATAAAATAATCATGGTAATAGCGGTAGAGCAGAAGCCTGACTAGCAAATACGAATTATCAGTGAAGAAGAAACGATTTTCCAGCCTTACTGATACAAAGGGCGTAGGCACACCTCCCCCTACATCAGAAGCGTCGAGGACATAACTGACACCAAACCGTGCTTTCTATAGCATGCTAAATGGAGAAAAAGTATCAATTCTGTCAAGGGTTTCTAGGTAACGACCACCCCCTCGTCCGCTCGGCTCCGCACGCAGTTACAAGGCTAATCCTCTGTTATTTCGGTTAGTGAAGCCACAGTTCAAACGGCTCCACCGGTACCGGAGCAGGGCCAAGACCAGGAAGTCAGAGCCTTGTAGAACCAACGCCTTTGTGCGGCACGCCTTATTTCTGCTAAGGTAATATCCACCAAACATCTCACTCTGGGTTGAAACCTGCAGCACTACGACTGGCATATTAGACGTAAACATGCATTATCTTGTATCAGTTCCTGCAGGCCCCACCCAGGCCCCACCCATTTCCGACAGTTGAGCAGATCTCCAGCTAGCTGACCAATTTAATCAATGGTCACCGAAACTTACGTCAACAACGTAAGCTCATATTTCAAACCGTTTTTAAATGTCAAAGCTCGACATACCCGCTTCCATTCCAAGAATCTTACAGCCATCTGTCTAAATTTCTCGTCCGTTCTCAGCAATCCGGCATCCCAATCCTTTAAACTCATACACCTTCCTCTGTTTAAGCCCCGACCTCCAGCTGCCTCTCCATGCCCACCTCCTGTCCAACCTCACCTTCTGCATCAGCACCGAGTTGTCACCCTCGGCCGTCATGGCCGCGTGCGCCGAGCCCATCATCTCTCCGAAGCGGTTGCAGGCCAGGTAGCCGGCGCCGCCGCACCGCTCGCGACACGTGGTCACCACCCGCTCGAACAGCCACGAGGCCATCGGCTTGATGGCGCAGCACATGGTGACGATCTCGGCGTGCTCCGAGCCGTCGGCCGGCTGCTCGGCCCACCGCTCCTGAGGGGAAGAGGGACGGTGAGATGGGCGGTATGGGGAGGGATGGCCGGAAAATAGTTATATGACACGGGAATGTGAATTTTGTTTTGTTTGGCTACTTTGAACATAATTATTGAAGATACATAAGGTCACACACTTCCAAGTGTATACCCGAGGTTCGTTTTCTACTTGACTTCGAACACTAGCACGTCACAATGAAGTGTGGCTTTCCATAAGAAGCATAGACATCGAATAAACCACACAAAACAGCCTAAAATAACAGCCGTAATCCCATGTACGGTTAACCTGGCGAGGTCAGGGACCGCTCCCATTTCCCAGTGCTGCGCCATACCGGAAAACGATGGCGCACATGTCTCCCAAAACCAGCTCTCATTTTTGCCACGACAAAACAAGTTATCGGGGCCGGCAAATTCCAACCACCATCCAACGGGTCGCTTTGACCATACGCAGCGCCACCTATCAAACTCAGTTTCCATCCCCAACCACCAGAGGCGCTGTCATCGCCACTCACCTTCACGTAGTCGACAGCGAGGTTTGTGGCGACTGACTGGGCGATGAGGGGCAGAAGAGCACGCTGCTGCAGCTGGTACATCAGGATTGGCATGTCCGACTTTCCGCGGGGTCCGACCGTCAGCCGGGTGGCCGCGTACCGCACGGCGATGGCCAGCGCCGCCTTGGTGCCTCCCTGCGCAGAGCGGGCGGACGGTTAGATTACAGCGTGTGGTAGCGAGATGAGAATAGAGGGTTATGTAATGTTAAACCAGACTGCCAAAACGATGACAGACAGCAACGACGGGGATGTTATATAAATGCACCGCTGTATGGAAATAAAACAGCGATGAAAATGATATATGGTGAAAATCGAGCATCATGAGTCAGATGACACTATAAATCCTTCCTCCCATTCCATTCACTCCAAAAACTGATCATTCTCTGATCATCCCCCCTTTCCTATACCCTCTCCCAACCACTCACCACAGACATGGACGCGATGCAGATCCGTCCGGCGAGCAGCTGGTCGGCCACCGTCAGGAAGCGGTTCCGGGCGCCCTGGATGGACGACTTGAACTCTCCGTCCGCGGACACATCCGAGTGTTTGTTGAGCAGGTGCTCCCGGGGGATGCGCACGTTGTCAAAGGAGAGCTTAGCGTTGTCGACGCCGTTCAGGCCGATCTTGTAGCCCATGTCCTCGACAGTGACGCCGGGGAGAACCTGATCGAAGGTAGTGGGAAGGAGTGAGAGAAGGAAGTAGAGAGATGTGAGAGAGTAACTCGACGGTACACATTACACAACTTCATTAAACGCACATGATTTGTAATTGGTAGGCGCTCAGATTAGCATACGGATAGCTCAATGATTGAAAAAAGAGCCCGAAACGGTAATTGTTATCAACTTATTATTGTAGCACTAGAAGAAGTGTAACTCGTCAAACACAAGCATTAACCAAAGGTACCAAATATGGAAAGACTGAGGGATACTTGATCACAAGGCAAAGATCATCAAGCTTATCCCAGGAAATCAAAATGTAAAAAATTGCAATCAAATAAACGCATAACCATCATAAAAACAAGCCAACCAACAACCATCCCACACCATCCCCGGCCACCAATTATCCTGCTCCAGCCCTGTGACCCCCTCCTCCTTCCTCCATCATCACCTTCATGTCGTCGTCCCTGATGCGGACCAGGAAGCCGTGGATGCCGTGGTTGGTGTCGCCCATCTTCAGGTGCGCAAACACCACGATCCATTTGGCGTGGATGGCGCCGTTGGTGATCCAGTACTTCTGGGCCAGAGTAGTCGGTGTGTTCACGATGAATTCGTCTGAGGGCGGAGTAAAAACTTAGCCATTTGACCATCTTAGCCATGTGGCCACTTTAGCCATAGGACAATCTTAGCCATACCATGTCATACGATAATCTTAACCAAGTGACAATCTTGGCCATAGAACAATCTAAGCCATCTAGGACAATAAACAATTAGGACAATCCATAGGACGATCTTAGCCATATAACAATCTTAGCCATAGGACAATCTTAGCCATATGACATTCTTAGCTATAGGACAATCTTAGCCATACGATAGTCTTAGCCATAGGACAATCTTGGCCATTTGACCATTTCTGCCATGTGACCATTTTAGCCATAGGACAATCTTAGCCATAAAACAATCTTAGCCATAGGACAATCTTAGCCATATGACAATCTTAGCTATATGGCCATTTTAGCCATATGAAAAGCATAGCCACAGGGGTGTCGTTTTCCGAAAATGATTGGTAGTGCCCAAAGGCGGCGGCTGGCCATATATGACGGGGCTTACAAGGTAGGGTACCCCCAAATCTGCCTTTCTCATCGGATTTCGGCCACTTATTTTTCGCCCTGGTCATTGACAAGACTAACCGAAATCTAAAAAAAACACAAAAAAAAACTTTGGAAATCTGGGTCCACACCGGACGCCATGCACAAAACGTGCAGTTATATAGGCAATAGTGTCGGAGGAATGCACGCCATTCTGAAAGAGGCCCACATCGACTTAAAAGGACGGCTGTGCTGAAAGGGGACAGGAACAGCTTTGAGGGCCCAAGCCGACTAAAAAAGACGGCTGCGGGGCCAGGAACGGTTTTGAAGACCCACGCCAATTGAAGGGTTCGACAACTAACGAGGACTGGAAACACAACGATAGCTAGAAAGACCTGCTTGCCAAAATAAAAGGATGACAGTACGAGGGGCGTTCAGAAAGCTACGGGCCCGACCATGAAGGAGCAGAGAGATACAGCATCGACTCATTAGACCAAAAAGTTCATTTATTCAAATAAACACCGTTAAGACAAACACATTTCGCGCAGCGCTTCGCGAGAGCCCTCAAGGCCTCCATAACCAAGTGGGTTTTGGACCCATCCTGCACGTCCAAGACGGCTGATTTCGTCTCCCTGCTGTTAGCGAGGTTGCCGCTGCTAATTTTCTTATGTTGGGGAAGAGGTGGCAACCACTAACCAGAGTGTGCAAGGTTCGGAGAGAAAAAAGTGGATGCGACAACAACTCGAAGCTCATCGCTTCACTGTTCGTCATCCCGCCCATGTACGCAGGTGCGTGGTCGCGGATCAGGTGCACACTTTACGTCAGCTTCCCTATAGCCTCTCCTCGATGTTTATCGAATGGACGCACATCATCAATTGTGTGCCCCTGTTTTGGAAAGTTGACGAGCGGAGGGGGGTCGCATCGACCCCTCCCCCTGCCAGGCCGTGTTATGAAAAATGCCCAGGGCGAGGGTTAACGCTTGGTGCCTTTTCTGCACTAACTACTATGAAACGAATCACTGCTCTCTTCTGGGCGTCGCCCATCCTATCCGAAATGGCGAACCATGCTGCGAATAGAAGCCCGAATCAATCACAGAAGAGACTTAATTAATGGCCACTTACTTAATTTGCGTAAGTGGACATCCCAATAACACATCATTTAACACACCGCCTTGCAGGCCAAAATTCCAACTCCTTCATTGTTCGGCCCGAAACTTTTTGAACGCCCCTCGTAGTTACGAGCTTCAGCTTTCGGGGTCTGATGCGGTAATGACCTGGCGTTGAACCCTGGGGAATCAGGCTGCATCACCCACTCAAATCAATATACCTATGGCCTATTCTGGAGCACCGCGGCACCTTCCGAAGTCGGTGTAGGGCCTCCAGCGGCTGGTGTGGAGACGGATCGGGGTCTATTAGGGGCGGTCGCGTGGTGTGCGGGACTCAGAGGCAGTTATGGACCTCTATAACCAATTGCGTTTTCGAGCCTCTTAAAATCCATTAAGGACCGGAGTCCTAGACACGTGAAACCTCATTGTCAGCTACATGCACCTACTGTGGCTAGAACCTTATTTATGTACTTGCATATGTGCTTATTTAATATTTGCTTATCTGTTTATTTTGATTTTTTTATCAACTGATAAGTGACAAAAGATTGGTAGGGCTCAGCGAACATTGGTAGGGCCCAAATAAACATTGGTAAGGCTCGGGCCCTACCAGGCCTATACAAAACGACGCCCCTGACTATTGTGAAACTTGGTAGGTAGGTAGGTAGGTAGGTATCACATAACTTGAAATTACTTGACGTAATAACATGATGTGGAAAGTGAAAATGATACCTAGGTATTGATGGAAATTTATGGACTTAGGTACGCTACAAGAAGATTGAATTGGTCAACCAATTCAAATTCAATCTACTTGTGGAGTAAGTCTATAGATTTTCATCAATAGTTACCACTTACCATTGAAGTTACTTGCTATCACGAGTAAATGGCGAAGTACTTGTATGAACAGCATTATGACATATATATGTTTTCAAATATAACCTTATGTTCAATGATTGCGAAATGCAAAAGGTTCCAAAATTAAGTACAAAATGAATATATTTCGGACACTGTCCTTCTTCAGTTCAGAATTGCAAATTAAATCATTTAGTCACAACAGCGCCAGAATATGTCGATAACAGCTAAGTTAGAAAGTCTCACATTGGTAAATTCTCGCGCAAAATAGACAACCATCTTACAGTTGAAATGTTCATAATGTACCCTTTCATATAAATATAGTACATGTGTCCACAATTTACACATTAACCCTAAGTGGCAGGCTCCTGGCTACCCCATATTAGTGGCAGGGGGGGGGGGGCTGTTTACGACCCCCCCTTGATATCTCGAGATCTAACCGGCCGATTTTCAAAATTCAAACGGCATTCGATTTGGCTTAACGAGATCTACATTTCTAAAAAAAATAAAATTAAAAATATCAATAGGGGGGTAGAGGGGGGTAAAAACGGGCAAATTGCAGATACATTTTAGACTGTTTATCACGGCCAGGTTTCTGAACCAATCTTAACGCAACTTTTGCCGATCGATAGAGAATGAACCAGGAATTCACATGGATCCTAAAAATATGCATTTTCAAAAATCATAGGCGGATACAGATCATTGAGATTGGGGGTACACAAAAAGTATAGTAAATAAGGTTTTTGTTGGTACTGTTTCTAAAAAGGGTGGCAATGGTCTTGTTATGTTACAATTTTCTTATGAGAGAACGACTAAAATTGTATTGGTCATGCATAGGCGGTGTCAGGGCACCTATGTTGGAAGGTAAAAAATAACCCCCCTTTTTGGACGCCTGGATCCGCCTATTATAGCAAAAACGTGTCAAAAGAGGATGCACAATAACTTTGTATATGTTATCACATGATACCTTTCATTCACTGTTCGTAAAACTGGTGCAGCATCGTGATCTTCGCCCAAATGACTCGCTTCACGAATAGGACCCCCAATTCCCAGTGCTCTGGAGCCGCCCCTGGTAAAGTTATGAACTTGAAATTTTCAGGGAATGTGCCCAATTTAGTTTTAGGAAAAGTCAGAAAATTTCAGCATCGTAGCTTCAGCGGTTTCGGAGATATTCCCGAAAAACCTGAGGGGTGGATAAAAACAACCCCCCCTGCCACTAATAGGGTTAATTCATCCCTATCATCTATCGATCACTAGACCACAAGCATCTAGTCGTCTATTCAACCATCGAGCCCTGCAATCAGTCAAACATCCAACCATCCATGTACTCACACATCACTCAGCTATAGATAATTTTACAATCAAGTCATCAAAGGCCACCATCTTACATCAAAGAGTATAGGTACTTTACCATTAAACCATTCATTCAAACCTCGAAACAATACTCAATCGTTCAATCATTCATGTTCATCCATACATTCATACATTCATTCATTCATTCATACAATCATCCAATTATTCAGTCCTTCATTCATTCATTCATCAATATGGTTGAATATAAAAGCCACTTGTCATCAATACACACACATGATCAGTGAAACAGTGGCAAAGGCATCAGAACAGAAGACGTTACAATAGCGAAGTTGTAAATGCTAGAGTACTACAGGACAGGATCAGTATCTCATTTCTTTCCCGTGGTCTATGACTCGTTACCCTTTAAATGATGGCCCAGGCCGCTATGTTGCTGTTTAGAGCTGGACGAATCTGTTTGATCCAAAGAGACTCCGCTATTTTCCTGCCTCTACTTTCATCGCATGCCTGCAGAATCTTTGACCTTACATTACGGGGTCCCGGCCGACACTGGGGATGCTGTGTTCGGAAATGCTCGCCCCACGGGGAGTCATTCCGCTTGTTTTTAGCATCTCGCAAATGTTCGTTGTAGCGGAGGCGCACCGAACGTCCCGTCTCACCAACATAACTCTGGTTACACAGTTCACACGTGAGCTGGTACACCACACCTGAGCTGTGGCATCTTCCTTTCAGTCAATCATTGAACATAGGGTTATATTTGAAAACATATATATTTACTTGCTATCATGTTGATTTTATACATAAGAACCTCATTCATTTTATTTGTATGACATGTTTGAATGCAATTTTCTCAATAAGTGAAGAAAACAACAACACATTGGTAGTGCTCAGCTGAACATTGGTAGTGCTCGGGCACTCCCAGGCCTATACAAAACGACGCCCCTGCATAGCCATATGATAATTTTAACCATAGGACAAACTTAGCCATAGGACAATCTAGCCACATGACAATCTTAGCCATGGACAATCTTAGCCATACGATAGTCTTAGCCATATAACAATCTTAGCCATATGAAAAGCATAACCATATGACAACATTAAGGTTGAACCTTAACCATAGGACAATCTTAGCTATAGGACAATCTAAGCCATATTATGACAACCTTAACCAAAGGACAATTTTAGCCATAGGACAATCTTAGCCAAAGGACAATCTTAGCCATTTGACCATCATCGCCATGTGGCCATCTTAGCTATTGGACGGTCTTAGCCATAGGACAATCTTAGCCATAGGAAAATCTTAGCTATAGGACAATCTTAGCAATGTGGCCATCTTAGCCATAGGACAATCTAAGCCATATAACAATCTTAGCCAATAGCCATAGGACAATCTTAGCCATTAGTAAACCTTAGCCAGGTGAAAATCTTAGCCATGTGATAGTCTTAGCCATAGAAAAATCTTAGCCATTGGACAGCCATCGGAAAAACTTAGCCATAGGACAATCTTAGCCAAGCGAAATCTTAGCCAAGTGAAATCTTAGCCAAGTGACAATCTTAGCCAAGTGACAATCTTAGCCAAGTGACAATCTTAGCCATAGGGCAATCTTAGATATTTGATTATCTTAGCTAAGTGACAATCTTAGTCAGCATGGAGGAATACATCCGATTACCCCATAGCAACAAAATGATTCCTGATGATCCAACTCAGATAAAACTGAAACGAAATGAAAGGAAAAAAATTATTTAAGAAGACGCCCGTAAATATGGCAGCCACATACCAAATAGGAGAGCTAACACCTAACGGTACAACCGGTAAACAAGGGCAAACAAACGAGCATCTGCCCATAACCAAAACACTGCGCACTGGGCAGGACAAAAACACGATAACCTTGCTAGTTCTGGGTAGGACGAGATGAAAAACTGCCGGGTGTAGAAAACGTCCAAGTAAGATAACGGTTTAGAGAAATGTGGGTCCCTTGCGTAAAAAAGTGATTCACTTTTTTGACACCAGCTGATGATGACACAAGCTGACGAGAAGGCCTGGTATGGATGAGTGCCCTGTGCCAGTATTTTAAGGTCTAAGGTTGCATCGAATTTTAAAATTAAAAAACCCTTTTTACCCTTTCTCACCCCTACCCCCCCAAAAAAAAACTGTAAAATGCAAGCTTCACGCTAGTATTTTTCTATTCCAGCCTCCCAGTACACCAGTGTCAGGATTTCAGTAATCTGGAAACCAGCTAAAATGGTCCTAATATCGTCAAATCATAGATGAGACACAGCTTCACTCGTATTCCCGCTGCCCCTCCCCCTCCTCTCCGGCCTGCTGACGTCACCGCCCCACCCCCTGCCTCAGCGGCCGCCTCTCAATGACAGTCAGCCGTCCGGTCCACCTCCTGACGTCACAGCCCTGGCCGGCCGCCCAATATCCTACCCCTCCCCTCCTCCTTCCCTCCACCGTCCGGCACTAGGCGCTCCTACGATCGGAGAGACTGACAGCTGCGTACAGTGCAGGGCCGGCGATACTGCAGCTGTGGCGAGAGGTGGATGAGGAAATAGAGAGGGGCAGCCGGTTGCAGTTGGACAGTGAATTAATCGGGAGACGATGGGCCCGAATACCGGATGAGTCAACAGCACGAGCTAATCGCATAGCCGTTATCGTAAACTGAAGCAAGCCATATTCGGCATGGCTATCAATGCTCAAAATGGCGAGCCATATAGATAGACTTGGGTAACCCTGCACGGCGGTGACCATTTCTCATGCCCATTTCGGATAGCAAAACTGAGATGAAAGAAGAGGTCATTTCTGTAACGGTTCCAGCTAGTTTCTGGATTTTTACAGGCTAAGTCAAACATCGGGAGTGATAGAAAGACACGCAAAACCAAATAAACTACGCAATGGTCCCAAAACGTAGCCCGTCCAGTAGGGAAAGCGTCAAGTCACGGCCAGCCAAGGTTCAAAGTGCACCCTGTCTATGTAAACAGAGCAGCTCGTCGCCGCTCGTTACTACGTCCGGTGATAGGTCAGCGATCAGCTACACTCGGGACACTGGGCTCAAAGTCCCATAGTACCACACTCAGTGGAAATAGTCCCGGCCAGCCCGGCCTCCGAACCATCCACACTTTGCATTCAATCGCTCTGTTCACCAAATCATTTCCGAAAAAAATCCATAGAATAAAACGCAGAGCACACAATATACCCCATGTGACTAAAACTTCGTCATCTCATGTTCCTCTGTTCAACAGCTTCATCCAAAATCCGACTCCGCACCCAACAGGCCTCACTCCACACCCCGCGGATCATCCCGCAGCGCCGAGACTGACCTGTCTCCTTGTCGTAAGTGGCCGTGGTCTCCATCTCCACAGCGTTGTTGCCGTATCCGAGCTCGGTGAGGCCGAAACAGCCGACGTCCTCCAGAGTGTCGATACCCTGGCGGAGGGTGATCACTGTTAGTAGAGCGGAGTGTAGAATACCGGTATATTGGTGGCACTGTGACGGTCTCACATCAATCTCAGCGGTGCGAGCGTGCTTTTCCTCTCCCAAAGATATCCTTTTTCATACCCCTCTCAACAACTCAGCGACTCATACCCCTCTCAACACTCAAGCTCTCGCCGCCTAAAAGAGCACGAACACCATCACCTGCGACATCATCCTCGGGCCATACCTTGAGCAGTTTGTCGTGATGTCGCTTGGTGCCCAGTTTGAGCACGGTGCCTCCGAACAGGTTAAACTGCACCGTCATCTTGGTGCACGTGGCCGGGTCGGTGATGCCCACCAGCTCGTGCGCCGCGAAAATCTTGTACGGGTTGTCGACGAAGTTGAGGACGGAGATGAAGTCGTTGTCGCAGACGGCCTTCAGCCTCTTCAGGGCCAGCTCACGCTCCTCCTCCAGTGAGATGTTGTAGCTGACGACGAGTGTGCAGGTCAGACTGCCGTCTTTTAGGAGCATTTTTGCTCAACACGCTGCAAGTTCTTTTCATAACCATGCAAGTATGGTTATCATCGTCATGTCGACAATACACAAACTATCAGTAAAAATACTCTGGACATGCACAATAACCAACAAGATCAAGATCATGTAGTTCCACTACATCATCATCATTTTCCAAAGACCACACCAGCTTACCCACAGCCACGCCTTATCACCGTCTGCCGTCCGGAGGTGCCAGCACTCACCGGGGCTTCATGCGCGTGGCCGGGTCCTTCTGGTACTCGCGGTAGCGGTTGCGCATGTCGTGGTTGTCGTGGTCCAGCAGGTGGGTCAGCTTGGCCGTGTCAAAGGTGGCCACCTTCTGGCGCTCGCGCAGCTCGGCAGGAGCCATGGTGTTGTTGAGACCGGCCACTGCCGCCTGCTGCCACCTGCGTCAGACAGACGTGCAACGTTAATAGGATAGGGCAATACAAACCTGAACTGCGTGACACCAGTCCAGCAATAGTAGCAGTTAACAGTAAATCAATTTGTGAAGCCAGATTCTACTGACTTAACCCTATTCCTGGCGGGCTCCGCCGGGACAAGAAACTGGCGGGGGGGGGGGCCGATTCGGCCCCCCCCTTCAGATCTCAAAAACTACACATCGCAGCGACAAACGGTAAACGGCATCGGATACGCACGGTCAAGATCTACAATTTTTACTAAGGTCATTTTCAGGTCAGGTCAAAGATGACGTCACAGGGGTCGAAAAAGTCAAAATGGCGGCGCTAGATATGGAGAGAGTTTTTCTCGAATAACTTTCGACATAGTCAAGATAGGAACAAACTAAGGGCATCATCGTGATCCTCTCGTCAATCCGCATCGAATGGTATATATGTTGACCTCGAAAGGTCAAGGTCAAAGGTTGACCTCAGGTCACGTGACCTCGAGGTCATCATGTATATCATTCGATGCGTCTTGACGAGCTGAACACAATGAGACCATCCACGCGTCTGTATCTTGTTCCTGTACGGAGTTATTGGCCAAAAACCTTTGGTGACCTTTGATGACGTCACATGACCTCACAGCTGCCCAACAGCAAAACAGACCTCAAGGTAGTGAAGGTTGATCGTATATGAAGTCATGTATGGTATATGGGGCCATTCCGACCCGTTTTAGTGGTAAAAACAGGGAGTTGATTTTTCCCCCATTGACTTATAATGGGGAGGTCGCGAAACTGACCTGACCTTAAGTCACCGATATCAAAATTCCGAGATATACAAATTGCACATACTGGTACCCTAACTAAAGCCTGAAGAGAAGAAATTGATCGGTCAAAAACTCTAGCTCTGGCGTGATTGCAAACTTTTCTGAGGTACGGTCACCAAACCGCCTCTGGTGACCTGACCTGAGGTCAGATCAACTCAAAATTTTCAGACATGTTGCGTAGAAGCCTTTTAGGAAAAGTCAGAAAATTTGAGCTTCCTAGCTAAACGCGTTTGGGAGAAATAACCAAAAAACCTCAGGGGGGGGGGGCTCCTGAGGCCCCCCCCCCCCGCCAGGAATAGGGTTAAGACCAAATGAAAAAGGCACTTAATAATGAATAAATAGAATAGACCACAAATAACAATAGAACTTCAATAGTGCTACTGTTATCTGTGAATAGGCACTTTAGGCCGAGCTTCTTACGTAAGCCCCGACCACTGCAATGCGGTTGAGCCATTCTGGGTAATCGGGAGAATTTAGACGCCAAAATTTAGCCTGCCCTTCGAATCCAAACATGGTTTGTCCCACTCAGCTGACTTCAACTGGCTGTGGCTGCTCCCACCAACCACAGACAGACCATCTCCATCAGGAGTTTTATACCTTAGCCCTGGAGCGACTCAAACCAAGGCTCCCAATGCTCTTCCAAGTTCCAGCTGACCTACAGGAAGGACTAACAACATAAACAATGTGTACAGCAGTGGTTTGTGATAACTTGTAAGCAGGACTGCGGAGTCGGAGTCGGAGTCGGAGTCGGTCGGAGTCGACAGTTGTGACCGGAGTCGGAGTCGGAGTCGATTTTAGAAACCCGAGCCGGAGTCGGAGACGAAGTCACCGAAAATCTGTCGACTCCGCAGCCCTGCTAGGTCTGCGGAGTCGGAGTCGGTCGGAGTCGACAATTCTGCCCGGAGTCGGACTCGGAGCTGGTTTTTTAAAGTCGGAGTCGGAGTCGGAGTCGGAGTCGGAGTCGGAGTCGCCGAAAATCCATCAACTCCGCAGCCCTGCTTGTAAGTGTCCAACCACATCAATGTGTGGAGAGATACAAGACCTTATGTCATACTATCCTGAATCAGTGTACCAGAGCAGAGCCAATGAGAATATTGTACATGTGAGAAATACAATGGGGTTGGCCAGGGAATGATTGGCCTTCATTGCAGCGTCCTAATCAGAAAGCACATGTTTATGATTTCATAGTACAACTTCTGTCTTCTAGATCTTATTCAAGGCGAGTGAGTTCAAATGTGGGTGGTGCAGATTTTCAGCCTGGTCAGAATCCACTGGTGTAAAACCATTACCCAAAGTAGTGTGGCATATCAACTGCTGCCTGCAGCCCTCTGCAGCATGGTGGAGAATCAATGCCGGATGTGAGGCACCACCACTGCAGTCAGCATCAATACATATCAACTGGTTTGAAACACTGTAGAACAAAATACATTTGACACAGAGCAAAGATGCAGATAACACCAAATAATTCTAGAAGACTGGAGTTTGACTGACCTGACTTGGTGCCCATATTTGTTGGCCTGCGAGAGTTGCCGAAGCAGGCAAGTACTGGCACACCGAAACATGGCTGAAAAAGACCAGAATCAAGCATGTCAATATTTATGCCTTACAGAGCAACATCTTAATGTATCCTACATCATATGAAGCTTTTTGAATCGATAACACTCGCTAAAAATATCCATGATGCTTAATATGCAAATATTGCTCTTTTGAGACAAATTCGGTGTCGCAGCTTCACACAAAAAAGGCGTTAGATATATGCAATATTCTACCAAGAAGAGCCCCTAAAGTCACAAAACTCTGTAAAGGAACCTCAGTAATGTACCTATCACTTGAAATCAATAAATCATGAAAATAGACAATTAAACACCCACCTTCCTGCTACAATCCTGCGAAAAAAGAAACCAGACGGAAAGAAGATGTCAAGGTGAGAGAAAATGAGAGTATAGCTTATGTAACACTGCTTGGGTCTATGACGTCACAAAAGTTAAAATTCTTCAAATGACAGGCCATCTCGGACCAAACGCCGAGAAAAATTGTATGATTTCAGATTAGAATTGAACTTGGTAATGAAAAAAGTAGAAAAAGGCATTCTAAATCTCGTGAAAAATGCATATTATCTTACAAAAAGACTCAAGAACACTGGCTGCAAGTCACCTCGAAGTCTGATCAACAGATTCCTAGACCTACGGCAGGTGGCAGCACAACAGCAGATTTTTCAAGTATAGATGTCAGCACTACCCTTGGACTGCACTGGTTTGTTGACTTATTTGTTTGTTTTGATGGGATTTGGTCTTACTCTTTCAAGCCTTTTCGGCCTGAAAAGACAGTTCCAGTGCGTAGTCATTGGGCTGTGCGGGACACCAACAGTGAGCCGCGGAGGCAAGACCGTCCCGGTGGGACCGGACTGCCAGTCTGCCCCGTTGGGACAGTCCGCCCGCCTCCTAAACGGTCAACCCGGAGAGGACTTCCTGGAGGATCCTGAGAGGAGAGGACCCTGGACCTATTCTCACCAAATGCCGTGAATGCGCATTCACGGCATTCGGTTGCATTCAAAATTACGCAAGATATATTCATTTATTTATTGAACGACATGTTGGTATCCCTAATCATTCACATTATTTAACGCGTTCGGCGAAATTTGCTGGACGTATGTAAATAAAAAGTGTACATTTCATATTGCGGGTAACTCCGGTCAGTGCTGCCAAATCCTGCCATCCTGGAAAGGGAGATTGAAGGGGGATGCGCATGGGTTTGTCCTGAGATGGTCCTGAGGCAGAGGATGGCGAGAATGGATCATGGGTGATGGTTTGCTGATTAGACGAATTAAAATAATGAACGAGCAAAAGAAGGAACGGACGAACGAGGGAATAAAAACAAAAACAAAAACGAACGTACGAACAAACAAATGAACAAATGACAGAAGAAATGACAATCGAACTTCAAGCCATATCCTTACCTAAGCAATAAGCATGCTAAACTTTGACCACAAAGTCTGACGATTCAGACTAGTCAGCGACTAAAACAGCCATAAAGTCAGCGGCCTGGTCAAGACCAATCAGCGCCCCGGGCACCACAGCCAAACCCTCGGGCGGCGGCGGTGCGAGCCCTATCCGAGCCCTCGGACAGCAGGAGCCCCACCCGAGCCCTCGGACAGCAGGAGCCCCATCTGTCCGCGGCCGCGGCTCATCAGTAAGGTCGTCTGGTGCCGATCGTCCCGGTCGTAATCCGGGCTCCGATGCCGGCTCACCCGCCGAGGAAGGTTTTAGGGCCCGACGTGAGGTGTGGCCGTCAAACCACCATGGGACCGGGAGCCGTGAATGATGGATCAGCCACGTGGGGACTTCGGTGAGCCGGTAGAAGCGAGCACAATTGTGAATCGCTGATGTGGAGGCATTCGGGTTTCTAATATACATGTAGGCAATAGGCATGTCTGATGTCGTAGTGATATGTTATTATAATCTGTTGTAGTGGTGGATGGTGACTCCCACCTGCCACGCTGCAGGTAGTTGAAACACCTCTGTTTCCTGCCGCTGTCAATGCCTAGGGATCACGATTGTTCATCAACCCTCGCCGGACCAGACCATTTTGCGTCCTTCGACGGCACAAAGGGGGTAAGACCCCCTCGCGTTTGGCCCCTAATCGAGCTAGAGCTTCGCTGAAAAAGCTTTCGATCAATAGCAGTAAATTCTTTGCTCCAAATCCAAATACGTACACTTCAAGTTCTGTACTAAATAATCTGGTAAAAACGAAACTGGGATGCAAACACCAGACATGTGCATGGATCCGAGAAAATGGATCTGGGATCTGATCCCACGGATCCTGATCTCGGATCCGACGAGATCATAGATCCAGCTCTGTAATTTATCGAGAGATCCGTAGGGATCACAGATCCGAGTGTCATTTTTTGCTTGAGATCCAGTGAGATCATAGATCCTCACTTATTTTTGGTCAACACATATATCCCAAAAAAACAACACTTGTTTCAACTCACAAACATACTGTTTTAGTGATTTTATGTGATCGCACGTCATAATCCATAGTTTTGTGGCACTTATTAGCGTAGAAGCCCTATAAAACATGATTTAAATGTGGTGCATGGTGAGATCCACTCAGATCATGGATCCATGTTCTTAATTTATCGTCAGATCATATGAGATCATAGATCCAAGATGTATTTTTCACGCCGGATCCGGTGGGATCATAGATCCCAACCTGTACTTTGCTTCGAGATCCACTGAGATCATAGATCCATCACTCGGATCCATGCACATGTCTGGCAAACACAATCATGTCATGGCGTATAGCTACGTGTGAAATTGCCGTTTCTTTCGATGGCCGACCGGCCGAGCCGAGGTGAAAACATACTGGCACAAAGGAAATCATCCACGCTGGTAAATTAGATAATTGGGCAGAGATCCGGGACGTTTTAGTTCGTTTGGGTAATTGGCCAGGTTTTCAGACATTGAGGTCTCTGTTAATCAAACTGTACAGGTTCAGGGCCAATAGGGAAAGACGGCGCCCCAGGCTATCTGGGGTGTGGGGTGCCTGCGAATGGAACAATTAACGTCGCGGTCTTACGTGTGGCCCCGACTGTTTTAGCGCGATTCGATATACAGACGTTTGTATGATTTATAATTATCACTATGTTGATGATATCCCATTCTAACATCCGTACAATGATTATAACAAATTGTAATGAGCTTTCGTGTAGCTCGAGCGAAAAGGGCATGCCTTATCAGACCTGTCGCATAAAAATACGAGTCGTTCCAGAAGGTAACATTTCCACGTCTATGGCCATGACGGTATCATATAGGTAAGGCATATCAAATGAATATTTATGCCTGCATAAAGCTGTAGCGAGAGGCGTAAATAGAACGCATCGAGGATATCTTGTTCCACGTCATTACTTTTTCACGCTTTTGTAGAATAATCCCACGCATTGATGCTACCATTACCGATGACATGGGCATAATGCAACAAAAAGCAAAAACATTCGACAACGCTATGTTTTTCGGGTCTAGCCTTGCTACGAAAGGATACCTGAGCCTGTTTTTGTTATTCCAGGTTTTTTTAACCTACCATAGACCACTACCATATATCACTATATACCACTATAGAAAGGTAAATAGTCGTCTATGCACCTACATACATGTGCATTGTGCAGTGTACGTCATCGACTTGACAGGACATAAAGGTACATTATACATATTTGGTTATATGTTTTATCTACCGCCGCTCGCGCAATATACACGTATACCTACATTGCGCACCATTTGGCTTTACAATTTTCAAAGCAGCACGGGAAAATAATAGGGAAAGTGCAGCTGGCATCCCTATAATGAGTTTGAAATAAAAAAGTGCGGTGCCTTAAATAGACGGGATTATGATATTTATTCACTTTCGATGACAAAACAAAAGCAACTCTAAATAGCCAGACGTTTCGGCCTCAGGGTGCCTTCGTCAGTGACAATATCGAGATACTAATACATTACCTAATAAATTAATTAATATCTTTTACACTTTCAAAATACACATGACCTGGACATTTTTCAACGTCTGGCTATTTATAATATTTGCTTTTGTGTTGTCATCGAAAGTGAAAGAACATCACAATGTCTGACACAATGGACGGGATTTTTTTTGCATTCGTTGGCAAGGTGACTAAGGAAAAGGAGACAAATTGTTTATTCGACAAAAGGTTAAGGTATACGTTATTTGACACGTTTTGCACTCAAATTAAGCTGGCTTTTTATTTTGAGACGATTTCCAAAGAAGAAATGCTGCTTGTTAACATTGTAACAGTGCATTTTGTATGTACTATTGAGCGCAGAATCCGCGCTCATACCGGGACCGAAGCGGGACAGGTCTGGTGTATCAGAGAGTGTACCGATAGTGTGCTGCGGAACAGTATCCCATCCAGGCGGCTGCTGTCTGGTGAACTTGGGTCAGCCGCCGCACGGAAGGCAGCCGCCCCGGCCTCCCTCCCCCCGAGTGGGGGAGGGAGGCCGGGGAAGGGGAGCGATTCATGCTGTCGCAGCCCGCGCGGAGTTTACAGTGCGGCAGTGTGTACTGTGTATATTGGGATTATTTCTCCAGGAAAGTTTTGGATTTGCTTGAAGTCCACTGATCACGGTGGCTGTTTGCGGGGAGCGGGCCCGGGCGGTGTCAGCAGATAGCTGTTCTCCTACGCTGGCAGGCCACAGACATGGTGAAACGGTGTATTACTGTAATATTGCCGACCAGCCGGGGAAAGACCCCTTACTGTAGGAATGCGATTAAAGAGGCTTCTGTGTTTTAAGGTGTGCCGTTACGTAGTTTCGGATCGTCCTTAAATTCCTCGCCCTCTTTGCTCTCACCGCAACGTTTTATAGAAAAACTCGTGATGTTTTTGGCCTTGCTCCTTGCTCTTAACCTTGCTCTTCCAGACCATGAGGCATGAGCACACTTTTTAATTTTTATTAACTATAAATGAAAGTTTGCCATGTTTCTCAAAAATGCTCATCTCACCTTAATAAAAAAAAATCCGTTCCTATCAAATAAGTACCGGAAGCACAAATCTCACCGGAAGTCTGAGCCGAACTATAAGCGAAAATGCCACAACTTCCCTATGGCCACCGCCATTCTGTCTGAACTATAGACTTTTTGTTTCTCCAAACTATATGGTAACATAACGTCAATGTGACATAACAATTCACATTTATTGGGCATGCGTCACGAATGCGTGCCCCTCGGTATTACCGTTATGAAAGTTGCCCGAATCGCCGCTTAACCCGCGCCCTGCTGGGGGGGGGGTGTTTGAACACCCCCCCTTGTGGTTTTTCGCGAATATCTCAAAAACGGCGGCGCGGAGCGCCGCCGTTTTTGGTACACCTTATCATACATCAATTCTACACATGTTGTGAAAATTTCAGACTAAGGTCATTCCAGGTCAGGTCACCAGGTCACTTG